AGCTTTCCCTGTGCTAAGCAGTTCTAAGTCCTGAGAATATCAAGTTAGAAAAGACATCACATCTTATGGGGAGGAGAAACTGAAATGGGCAATGAATAAAAATTATCAGTGGTTAAAGAATTCAGTTTTAAATTAAATCATCTCTAAGGTTCCTTTTAGCCTAAACACTTCATGATTCTAATTCAAGGAAAAGTATAATGACTGTTCTAGGAGAGGAGTAATCCAAAGGCTGTTTAGAGAACAGGAGAGGAAGAGATTAAGTTAGATTATGACATGGGGAGAGGGGTTGGCAGTGGTTTCCTGGAGAAGGCCACAGAGATATTAGAGCTAGATGTTTTTCGGGGATGGGGGGTGGGGGGTTCATATTATTTATTCAAAATCCAGGGCATGTTTGGCAGTTACAGTGAATCAACCGAAATACAGTTAGTTCAAGTTGCTGGATCTTTGATTTCACCGTTGTTCAGGATTACACCACAAAACGCAATGTAAACTGCAGAAACTTCCAGGTTCCCCTGCAATGCATCTTGGGCAAGCCTGGGCCCAGCATCTTCCACCATCCTGAGGAACCCCTACACTTGGTCGCCCCTGGTCGCCGTCTGGCCGCGGTGCGGGGAGGTGGCTCTGGGCTGGGCATCCGGTGACTTGGGCTCCTCGCTGCCCCAGGACCCTGGCACGCGCGCCTTCACGTGGAGGCAGCCCCGCTCCTGCGCCACTGCTTCTAATCTCCTGCGGGCCCGTTTCGCATCCCCTGGCACCTGCAGCTCCTCTGGCCTCCTCCGTTGCCACCGGCCCAGCGCCAGGGTGTCCGTGTGGCCCCAGGCCCAAGTCCGCCCAGCCTCTCATCCCCACTGGCGACCACGCCTAGAGCCGGATTCTAAAGGATGAGTAGGATTTAAATAAGTAGACAGAGAGAGGTGAGAGATGAAAAGAAGTAAGAAAGGCCTATGAGCAAAGGATGCTGGGTCAGTTCAGGAAACAGCAAGTAACTACTGAATCCAAAAAAAAAATCTTTGCTGGGTATTTACTGTGGGCAGACCCTGCATTCAGCATGAAGGATGCAGAGACTGTGTTTGATGAGACAAGACTCCTGCTCTCAAAACCCCACCCGCATCCACAGGGGATGGGAAATGGGCCGTGAGCTTTCAGATGGCAAGGATCTGGTCTAGCTCTCTCCCTGCTACATGGGAGGTGCTCTGTTTGATTAACAAAGGAACGGATGTGCAGACACACAGCACACACACTCGTGATAAAAGATGCAGGCCTGCTACCCAGGCCACTCGACTCTTATCAGGGGTTAGGGCAGCACAAGCTTCCTGGGCTGAGGTTAGTGGCATGACCTGGACCGGAAGCCAAGATGGCAGGTAAGGAGAGGATGTTTAGCCAGCAGAACCGATATGGAAGTCCTGAGAAAAGGGAACGTTTGTCATATTATGAGAATTAAGAATCCCACAAACACAGCAGTTCACCATGCTCCAAAGCTGTTAGTGAGTCACAGTGTGGAATAGTGAGAAGGACACCGTCCTGAAGTCAAGACAGCCAGAATCCAACTAAGGCTCAGTGAACACTCCCGTGGGACACTAAGCAAAGCATGGGGCCTGCCCTGTACGAGGCATCTGCCATGCACTAGCTCTTGGCATCCTTTGGCCTCCCTGGATCAGTACAGCAACTCTGAGTGGCAGGTATTATTGTTCCTAATTAGAGACGGAGAGAGTAAGATTAAGAAATTTGCCCATGATTACACATCGAAGAGGGGGTACGGTAGGAATTCCAACTCAGATCTCTCCCCAAAGCCCACCTTCTCCACACACCTGCTCCTCATGTGATAAGAAGTAATAAGCTTAGCTAGGGACCCACCAGCCTGTGGCAAGATTTCCAAATATGTGAGCTGCCTAAGCCCTCCCCTCCACATCTCTATAATGCTATGTGATGTAGACGACCAAGAGTCATAGAATTGCCTCTAACAAGATCCCACTGTGGAGAGACCTTTCTTTCAGTAAGAAAAGAAGGAAATGCCTTTCTTAAGAAATCTCTAAAGTACACACACATACACACACACACACACATACACAATATGGCAATCAGGTTAAAAATGCAGACTGAGGGGTCATTTGCAATCCTGAACTTGGAGGCAGATGAACCCCAGTGTGATAAGCAGAGAAACAATGTGAAACAGTCACGTGCTAGTCACAGGCAGTGGGGTTGCCACCTGTCCGCAATAGTTAGTTATTGAACCCAGCTGTGACCTCCACTCTACAAAACCCCAGCTCTGCGATGCTGGGCTTTAACACAGGGCTCAGAAAGCAGCAGCCTCCTCCCTCTCTCTGGTCTATCCTGACAGCATTACTCATCAACTGACTCTTCTGGAGGGCTGCAAACAGGGCAAGTAGGCTGGAAAATAAAAACCCTCCTACAACGGGTTTCGCTGGTGGCTCAGTGGTTAAGAATCCACCTGCCAATGCAGGGGACACGGGTTCGATCCCTGGCCCGGGAAGATCGCACATGCCGCAGAGCAAGGAAGCCCATGTGCCAGAACTGCAGAGCCTGCGCTCTAGAGCCCGCGAACCACAACTACTGAAACCCGTGCGCCACAGCTACTGAGCCCGTGTGCCACAACTACTGAAGCCCACGTGCCTAGAGCCTGTGCTCCGCAACAAGAGAAGCCACCGCAATGAGAAGCCCACGCACCTCAACCAAGAGCAACCCCCGCTCGCGCAACTAGAGAAAGCCCGTGAACGGCAACGAAGACCCGACACAGCCAAATATAAAAACAAACAAAGAAATTTATATTAAAAAACCCCTCCTACGAATCTTGAAAATAACCCCACCTTACATTTTGTGACATGTAGTTGTCACAAGGCACAAGAGATTTTTCACATATATTGTCTCACATGATTCGTTCTCCCTGTGAGTTACAAAATCACGTTACTATCATTATGTTCCACGAGCAAGTCGATGCTGAGAGAGGGTACAAAATACGACCCAGGGAATAAGCTAGGAAATGACAGAGCTGGGATTCGAACCTATGTCTTCCTACTCCCAATCTTAACTTCAGCTCATCCAGTCATGGCCAGAGACACACCCCCTGGCCAGCCCTCTCACCCCAACTCCTTTCCTTCCACTCTGCGTCAGCAGGGCGATCTCCACTGCGTGGACACTGTTGAATCAAAGCCCTCCTCTCCTCTTCCAGGAAAGAAAAGTATGTGCTTATCTGAAGTCAGACGGTCTTAGGTGAGGGCTAAGAGTGTACCTGCCCAATCATGCAGCACACCTGTTTACATGGCAGTCAGCGTCCCACACCTGGCTTCTGGGACGTCTAACCTCCACAACCTTTCACTCTGCTAGAATCATGGCTCATTCGCTAATTAAAGGGTATTATGCACACCAGCTAAGAACTTGGAATAAGGAAGTGTATGCGAAAGCATTAGCCCTGGAGATGGCACTAGGTACGCTTTGCAGAAAAAGAAAACCAGGAAAAATGATCCACCTGGGGCAGCCCCTCCGCACACTTCAGTCTAATAAGCTAGCCGCAGCTCATAGGGAAGGAAGCCACCCAGCATAGGACAAACCCAGGGAGAGCCCAGTAAATTAGCCAAAGGGAGAGGGATGCGCAGTAGAGAGAATGAATGAGAGAGAAAGCTGGTGAGCCAACTTCTCCCATAACCACCTGTGAGGTCTCGCTCTCCTCTGGTGCACCCCAGGCCAAGGACAAGCACACCTGCACCCCAGGCCAAGGAGCCAGGGAGACAAGGGCGAGTGGGAAGGATTAGCCCTCACTGCAAGGTCTTGGAACGAACTTGGCATCGTGTCCACGCCTTGTAGCATGGCTGCTCATTGCAATCAATGGGTGAAAAAGATCAGCCTCCTGACTGGAGTATTCTGCAGGTTTCCTAGAGTGGGTGCCCTTTTGGACACTCTCCTGAACAGCTTGGCGATCCAGCCCTGAGACCCATCCCCTTTCAATGCTAGAGGAGGTCATCCATTGAGAGTCAGTCTAAGGAGGGACACTCAACCAAATCAGTCTTGAACCTGGTAAGGATGGCAGATAATGACATGACACTTACTAAGTAATAAATTGTGTCCACAGGCAGCTTCATTATTTAAGAGACAACCTGGAAGGGTCAAAGGGTTGGGTCAGGTTTTACAGCCTGATCTTTGGCCTCTTGGGACCCCAGGGACCGAAATGATAGGCTAAGTACAAAACTGCAGCCTGGGACCAAAGAACCTTTACTTCTAAGTGGAACTTGGTCATGAATTGAGAGGAAGCCACTAGGTGGACATGTGGTTATGAGGATGCTTGAGAACTTGGCCCAGGGTCTGCTACCAACTGCAGTTGTTCTCGGTGCCACCTTCTCTCTCTCTCTCTGCTGTCTGCATGTTCCATGCGTGTTTCTGAGCTGCGTGGTGCAGTGGTGAAGCGGAGCGTTGCCACGGCACTAGAAAGCAGGGGGTGGATACAGGGATAGTTTCAGCCTCCAAGAATGAGGCTTTTTCCCCAACTCTCCCCAAGCCACCCAGGACATTGTGCGTGACATGTTTTCGGATCCTGTTTGCTCCATTTAGAAAGGCTTCCAGGACTGCTGGTCCCTTCCCCCCAGCTCAGACCTGCTTCCTCTTCAGCATACATACACCACAGCCTGATCTTGCTGGGCTCTTTTGCACAGTGTTTCAAATGGATAATACAAAACAACTCCCCCAGGAAAGAGAGCTCCAGGGGATGCCAGAGGCAATGAGCCCTCCCCAGCCCCGCGCCCCACCCCCGCCCACCCCCAGGCACTCTTGGCTTTTCCAGAATCAGAGACAGCGCACAGCAAGCATAGAGGCTGTGTGCAGAGACTGGTTGTAGCATTAAAAGAAACTCAGAGCAAGAGTCTGGTAGGCAGTGGCCCTGAGAGCCGGCGGGGAGGAATGCACCACAGAGAAAGGTAGGGCATGTCTTAATTAAGCAGAGGACCTCAGACAAGAGCTGACAATAGAGTCCAGTCTCTTTGCAATTGCAGTACCTGCCACCCCGAAATTACAACTGCAATTTGGCTCAAGGATCTGAGACTCAAAAGCTCTCGGTTCTCCCTTAAGGTCGCTTTGGGAGAAGCGGCCACACTGGGCTTCCGGAGGGTCCCACAGCACCTGATGTCCCAGGCCCGCCTGGGAGCAAGGAGGTGTGGGCAGCTGCAACCAGACCTGCTATGCCAAGTTCTGCCCAGCAGCCCACTAATTAGGCAGACACAGAACCCTGGCAGCCACAGCTCTCCTCGCATTCTTCCCCTGCCCCTCCAGGAAGCCCCGTCCCGAACGGGACCCACCTCCCCCTCCGCTTTTCCTCTGTACTCAGCTCCACTCTCCCCCTCCAGGCTTGCGGATCTCAGAGCTGCTCACCCCTCCCCACACCACTCCCCCGCATCCACGTATCCACGCTGTTAAGGGATCTTACAGACAGCAAATGAGCCTTTGAGTTTCAAGCTGAAACTCGCAGACCAGCCAGCCTGCAACGTTTCACCCTCCCAGACATCTCACTGCCCGTCCTGTGCATGGGTCTCCACCTAGACCCTCCTCTTTTGCCCAGGGACCCTGAACATCTCTTTGTTTTTGACCTGTCAGCAGACCAGACAGAGACCCAGGGTTACCCTGGCCTCTCCTCTCCCCGCACAGAGCTCAGAATCCACACAGGAAAAGGAAGGAAAGAGACTTCCACACCTCTGCAGCATCACCTGCTCCAACAAGCTCCCAAAGCCACTGGAACCATCCAGGCTGCCTGGTGCCCCCCACCCCCTTTCCTGGCAGCTTTAAGCTGCAGCCCAGCCCACAGGATGCAGTGCCTGATGCCACTTCCAAGCAGAGAGAGAGAGAGATAGAAAATGCCACCTCGTCAATGACAAGCTGTTCCAATCACACAGCTCAGACACCAAGTGCCCTGGACCACGGACAGCTCAGGCCTCCTCCCTCTGGGTGGGTGGAAGGCAACTCAGCACCTCTGGGGTAATGATCCGCCACCACGGCCAGGCTCCCCGCTGCTCGCCCCGCACATCTGACCAGACAGGAGTGCTCCAACCCAGCAGGCAGACCTCTCCGACCAGTTCCAACAACTCTGGCCAACTACCCTCTTGGCCTTCAACTGAGACACTGCTCTCTCTCCTGCTCCAAAGCACAGAGACACCTCGAACCAAGCCTCAGACCGCCAGCGTGGCACTTCTCAAAAGGACTGAGCGCAAAAATGAGCTGAAAGCCAAGTACTCACTGTGGTGAAGTCCTGGTGGCCACACTCCTGCCCTTTGAACTTGCAGTAGAGCATCATATCCTTCAGGTCATGTCCCACGCGGTGCAGGAACTCCAACATGCTGAACTGTTTGGGTTTGTAGTGCTTGAAGTTGGCCTTCTGCCGCAGGGCCTCCAGCACCGTGGGGTCAGCCAGGTGTGGGTCCGGGATCTGCAGGTTGACGTCCAACAGGGCGAGCAGCTCCCCGGCGTGGTACAGATCATTGGTGGTGAGCCTGGAGAAGCGGAAGCCGTTGAGGTTACAGAGGGTCACGGCTGGGAAGACCAGGCTCTGGGCCACCACCTCCTCTACCTTGGTGACGTGCTGGTAAGAGAAGTAGTAGGACACCCTCTCAGAGCTCTCCACCAGCAGCAGGCCCAGAGAGCCCACGAAGGCCATGGCCCAGAGCACACGCCGGATGCTCAGCGGCCCGTACACGAAGATGTGGCGGATGCCGTGGAGGGTGGAGGTGTTGGCGAAGATCTGGATGCTAGAGGGCTGCAGGCTACCCTCGCTGGGGCTCTCCTTGAGGTCCATGGGGACCCTGTGCAGTTCTGCAACTGGCTTCAGGTTGATCAGATTTCAGGGAAGAGTTCCCAGTCCTCGGGCTCTGCTTAAACGGTGACGTTCAAGGGAGGGAAGGAAAGGCAAGCATCAGGCCGGGTTCCGTGAGTTTATCCTGAGAGCCCAGCCGCACGCTGCCAGGGGTGAGTGTTTATATAAAACCCATTCGAACTCTAGCTCCTGATTTTGTCCAGGCGATAAGGAAGGCTGGTTTTATTTAGGGAGACACCAAGGTGATGTGGAAGAGATGTGGGTGGGAAGGGAGAGCTTAGCCAATGGAAATAAAGTCCTCCCCCCTACACACGCCACTAGAGACAAGATTAAAAGCGAGAGCGAGGGAGAAAATGCTTAAAACAAGTCGCTCAGCAGCTCGGAGCCTGTTAACCAGTGCGTAATGCCCCGCATTAACCATCCTGGGGATGTCAGGGCGGCCACGCTGATGCACTGCGGCCGGGCGCAGCGGCCGAGCTTCAGAACCGCCGCCGCCGCCGCCGCCGCCGCCGCGGCTCCGGTCCTCTCCTCTCCCCGTACTGTTTTGGACTCCGGATTCCGTTTCTCGCCGCCGGCCTCCGTCCCTCCTCTCCTACCTCCTCCTCCTCAAGGGCCCCTTTTTTGGGGCAGAATTCCAAAGGCAGGCGGGCCGCGGCTAGCGCCTCGGAGAGGCGAGGACCGGGAGGCTGGGAAGGATGCTGGAGGTTCGGAAAGGGACTCGTCTCTCCCCGCCCACCCACCCCGCCCCGCCTCCCCGAGCAAAAGCTAGCACCCAGAGGGCACCGAGAGAGCCGGCCTCCCTCACCCCCTCCTCCACCATCCTGCTGGGGGCTGGGAGAGGGCAGGCGCGGGGCGGGGGTGGCGTGGGGGAGGCGCTGCTGGGGGCGGGGGACCGGCGAAAGTTTCTTTTTGGTCTTTTTTGGAGGGAGCTAGTGGGGGCTTCTCGCCCAAGGTGGGGAACCAGCCCTGGGAGTGAGGACTTGACCCCCGCCCCCGTAGATGGCAGGAAGGCACTTGGTAAACTCCCAGGAGCCGGGTATGGGGGTGAAGGCAGCATTCCTTCGCACCAATATTTGCTCCCGGGTCAGGCTCAGCCTGGGGTCTCCGGACGGGAGACGCTGGAAGCGGGGAAGGAAGGGAGCTGTAAAAAACCACAGTGCCTCTGCGGCCGGCGGGAAGGGGACATTCCAGGGAATGAGGTGCCCCTGACAGAGGCCGAAGAGCCAGACGCCCCTAGGAGACCAGACGAAGAGCAACGTGTAGCCCCACCCCCCGACAGAGCTTTCAGGAGGTTCTGCATCTGAAAGAGAAAGACAGCTGGGGTTCCAGGTAAGGCTGGATGCCTTCCCTTTGGGCTGTGCGTGTGTGTGTTCTGCCCCAGGATTTGCCAGATGGAAACACAGCTGGAGCTATAGGTGGGAGAGAGGGATTGGGCTTTCAGCCACCTACCTCCTTTTTCCTGAAAATCCACTAGAAGTCAGCTCCTGCTAGCAGGTGGGTGTGGCTTGCCCTGTGCCAGGGATCAAATGGCTGGAACCTATAGAATCAATGATGCTAAATCCCCTTCAGGAGGAAAGGAACAGAAAGTTCCAGTGGCCAACCCAGTGCACACTCCCAGTCTGGGGCAGAGCCACATGGAGGCGCCTTGCTGAGCCAACCTGGTGTCCCCAGGGCATGCCCAGCTTAAATAACACTCCTTGAGAAGAAGGCAGTTTAGGGAATGTCCCTCTTGGTTTGCATCTACTCTGAAATGTTTCTCTATCCCACCTGCCCTCTCGTTAAACCAGAGCCAAACCAGGAACAGTGTCCGGATGCACATTAAATGAGTGGTTTACTGATCCTGGGAGCTCAAAGAGCAGAAACGTCCTGAATTAGCAAAATGACAGAGGCCAGTTAACCTCATGTGTGTGTCATCCCAGAGGTCCCGAATCCCTACCTTAAGGCTGCCTAGATGGGGATGGGGTTTTCAAAACAGGGGTGCCAAAATTAACTAAGACTCTACCGTGTCAGGACAGGGTGAAGATGTCTGATTTCACTTAATGCTTTCAAACACCTTGACAGGTGTGTGTTATTACCCCAAGTATACACACGAGGAAATGGAGGTTCACGAGAGTAAAGTCACACAGCTCATAAGTGACAGAGCTGGGACTTGAACTCAGGCACGTTTGCCTCCAAAACAGAGGCTGAAAAGCAAAGCCAAGACACTCCTTCCCAAATTTAGGAAGAGGACAAACATTTCTACCCCACGTCCCCCAACACACACACACATACTCACAAACTCACCTTATACTACACACAGACCAGCTCCTCCTTCCGCAGACGTGAAGCAGCCCTCCTCTTCCTCTCCACCAAGCCACATCCCTGGTGTCCATGTTTCTCACAGTGCCAGGCACTCCTCCTACAGGAAGACTTCCCTGATGCTCCTTTGCAGTCTCTGGCTCATCAGCCTTTTCAAGTCTGTGGATCTCTAACTCCATACCAGACACTCTGTTGGTTTTGGGGAAACAAAGAGGAATGGGACACATTTCCCACCCTTGATAACTCAGGGTTCAATGGGGCTGGAGCCAGTGTACGTTTGCAAACTGGCCCTGTACACACAGAAGGCAGGGAGAGACCAAAGGAAGAGGCAGCCGCTCCAGGTTGGTCGGTGGCAGGTTAAATAAGCAAGAGAACTTACACACGAGGTTAGTCTTGGGCGCTGCGAGCAGAATAGATATCTGCACCCACCACCCAATTGTAGAAGTTGATACAGAGGCCTTAAGTGGGCTCAGGCACATACACCATCCACATGGTCTCAACACCACCTTACTCTCTCGAGGCTGTGTCCTTAAGCAGCTTCTAGCTTGGGGAACGCACATTCCAAAGACGGGGGAGCCTGAGGAAACTCCGATTGCCCTGGTCGCGTCCTCTTGATGACCTCCCCCAAGACTCCACCCCTCCTCGTGACCCGCTTTAGTTTGTAGCGCCCCCGCCCTCCTCTGAAACGTTCCAGGAAAGGTCAGCCCCGGTTTCACTAGCATGGAGCTCTTTAGATGGTTATCTGCCTGCATTGGGGGCAGATGCCACAGCAACAATACAAGCACATGCAAGAGAAGCACAGGTTGAAACAATAATTCCCCAAATCAGTGGCAGCTTCTCCCACCAAGAGCCCTCTGTTCAGAACCACTGATTTATAAGTCCCCTAGCTGGGGGCCGGAACACTTAGGGCATCCACTTGTGGCCTTGTGTGATTTAGTAAAGCCAGCACAGTAGCAGACAGAAGACTCACCAGGTATGAACACACAACATTCTGCTTGGCTAATGGCACAGGTGCCTCCTGGCGAGGCAGTGATGATGTCCAAGTCCATCTTAAGTTGGAGGACAGGCAGCTTTTCTCATTAGAGACATGTCAGTGTTCAGTAAGGACAGCCTTTGTTGGCCTTCATTCAGGGCTTGCTGGGGGATTTAATAAGGCCCTCCGTGTGTGCTACAGTGTCCTCCAGGCTGATGGAGGGGACAAAGATGGCGGCCAAATGCTGGTACTGGTGGGAAACAGAACGTGTGTCCCCAGACTTGAGGAGAGGGAGGTGGCAGCTTTAGGAACCTGACCTGGTTGTGGGCACCATTCATCTTGGCCAGGGGAGGCAGCACTGTCAGGTGTGAGGAGATGGACTGAGGGTGGGACAGGCCAGACCAGGACCCCACCTTTTACCCTCAAAGCTGTGTGTTTCATTCCAGGTCTAGTGTGTTTCCACAGGCTCAGCCTGCAGCAGGACAACGGGATCTCAGTGGAGACTGGGTAGCTGTTCCTTACCCAGGGGTGCAAAGCAATCCACCCATCCCAACGGAATGTGCCATTGCAAATTCCAGTAGATGAAGCCTCTCCCAGGCGTGACGGGGTTTGGTATTCTCAGCAGCACAGCAAGCTAATCCACGGTGAGAGTCCGGACAATGGGTTGTTTCCCACCATTTCCATATCTTTACGGGATCGGGTGCCTCGGCAGGGGTCCCCAGTGTGGTATGTGGGGCAACAGGCCCTTACCTGGCCAAGGTGGTGCTACCTGTTAGTAATTTTATCTGCTGCTTTAATATCCCATTTTTCCTTTCTACCGACCCTGCTGCTTGCAGGTTATAGGGGAGAAGGACCCCTCATTCACTGTTATTTCTTTTGCCCCATCTTGTACACCATGACCTTTGCAGTGTGACCCCCATCACTATCTATTCAATGATGGTATCCATCCACAGTACTCAGCCTCTCTAAGCTCCCCCGGTGGTGGCAGCCTTGTTTGCACAGTCACAGGGGAAAGCTTGGGTTAAGCGAGACGCAGTGTCCACACAAACCAGGGCAAATTTAGAACCCTCACTCAACAGGAAGGGGCAAAATATAATCAATTTGCCAATCTCTCACCACTGGGTACTCCAGTGGACGGCCCCACTCTCCTTTGGCAGTTGCCTTGAGCATTGTTTAGAACACATAGGACAGACATGCTGTTACTACATTTACCAAATCACTGTATTTCGAGGGCAACCCGGTGTCCTTGGCAACACACCATCCCACCGGAGCACCACGTGTCCTCTCTTCCTATGTACCCAATCAGCCGTATCTACTGAAAGGTCAGTTGCTACGGCTTGTACCCAAGCTAGGGCATCAGCTTCCTGATCACCAGGTGTCAGTGCCTCCTGAGTCGGGACATGGAAACAGTGAGGATGGCCTCAGGCTCTTGCAGGTGAACCCAAATGTCTTTTCGCCTATCCTGACCCCACAGGGGCTTATTCATGATCATCCACCCCTAGGCTTCCCTTTGTCCAAGCCTTAGAACAGCCCTTTAGAACAGCCCAACCATCAGTGCAAAGGGTTAACAGCCAGGGCTCATGAGTGGTCACCAGCCAAATCACTTGGAGTTCAGCCCTCTGGCTGCTGTGTTTCGTTCCTGTTTCCAGGCGTCTATGTACAAGGCATCAGAGGGAATTTCTCCCACTCCCTCCCTACAGGCCACAGGAATAACGGCAGGTACATTTGGAGAATGTACTTTCTCTACAGGGCCTAGGAGCACCTACCTTTCTAGAGACAGTGGGCTGGTGGACAGGGTACTCCCCTGCTACAAATCTCTGTGTCACTTA